AGACATGGAACAAGTTGTCCAAAGTTAGGGGGAGGAATAGGTGGTTTGAAATGATGGGGCTTTGAAGTGAATATTTATTAAGATTGAAATTAACCTGAACTGCGCCCACACCCTGAGGGAGTGCTGAATTATTGGATTAGATGTAAAGTTGTCAACGGATAAAGGAAGAGAAGAACCCAGAAAGGAGGCAAGAGAAATACCCTGAATTGAGTCTAATTCCATTGCCAGCCACCTGGTGGGGCCCACACCCTCCCCAGACTTTAACCCGTAGGTCAGGGACCGAATATTGGCAGCCCAATAGTAAAAGCAGAAGTTGGGGAGTGCCAGACCACCTTCAATCTTAGGTTTCTGTAAATGTGCCTTAGCTACTCGAGGTCGCTTACCCTTCCAAATATAAGAGGAGATTTTAGAATATAGAGTTGTAAAGAAAGACTTGGGGATGAAGACTGGTAAAGATTGAAATAAGTGTAAAAAATTTAGGAAGGATATTTATTTTAATTGAATTAATTCATCAGACCAAAGTTGTGTTCAGGGGTGACCACTGTAGAAGGCTTTCTTTTACATTCTTCAATCGTGTAAAAAAAATTGGCTTTGAGAGTTGTTTATACTTTCTTGTAATTGTAATACATTAGGTGAAGGTGAACTGCTCTTTGACCACTTTAAAGGGGAAACGTGACAAATCTATTTGAAATGCTTTGTTGTGGAATCAATCAATGTAGAGCAGTGACACAAACCATGGAGGCCCAGAAGAGTGCAGTCAAACGATGAGTTTATTAGCGCACAGGAGAGAAAACATCACCATATGTCTTCTGCCCAAAAATACACAGAGAATGGTTTATATATCATCAGGGTTTGACGCCCCCTCTTGCGTTCTATAACATATTTTTGTATTTCTAAGAACATCATTTGCATCTTGTACAGACAATGAGACAATTTTTAGGCCTAGACACAGAAGTTCCTGCTTCTAACAATCTTTCCCAAATAAGGCAATGATTTCAGGCCATGGAGGTACCCGTGGACTTGTCCTCCTGTTGACCCATCTTCTGTCACCTGTTACTAAGTAAACTCAAATGCCACAGGTTGCAACAAGAAGCTGAATACATTCAGGCCTTCGCTCAAGCCTGTTCCTAGATTATATGTACTATATGTATTATAAGCGTGTAGCGGCTTTCTATGCTCTAAGTCTTTCACACAATAGATTGTGAAGTCATAGCACTTCACAAAGCTTGAAACCTTCAATAAACTGAGACTGAACATCAACTATGAATGAGCACAATCATGCAATGTGTATGAAATACTTCTGGCTGTACCTGTGATAAAAGGTTAACATTGTGGAATTAGCTTTGATAAACATCTTTAATACAATATCAAATGCTATAAGAAATATATGATAAAACTGCAGATTATATGTTAGCAATAAAATTTCTGTACTTCCACAGCTTCTTCATTTAAAGTTCGTTCTTGGACAGATTTAATTTATAACCAGAGACTTGACCGAATCGTGTGAGTTGTGCCAATATAGATGTGGCCCGGTCATGGAGAGTGAGACAGGACACAGGAAATACTCTTTCGTGGGCTTTTTTATTCTCCGACTGTACTCAGAGGAGCAAAGTTTTAATTCTATAGTTCTGAGTGAAAACGGTAAAATGTAACTATTCCACTGGCTCAGCCTAAAACTGTCTTTCAGGGTCTGAGACAACAGTAACTATCATATGTACACATTAAATTCAAACAGTATAGACCACAGTAGTGACCTATCAAGAAACTGTTGCGTTTGTTCAGAATCTGAGAGAGCAATCAGACAAAGAGTCCGTTTTGCAGCTTTTATTTCAGTACGCGTGGGAAGCACTTTGTACCAAATACAGCAGTCAACTTCAACAAAATACAGTCGGTGCACAGTTTATGTAGTCAGGGTTATCGCCCCTTCTTGCATAAAGGCAGTTTATTCAACATGCACTTACTGGAAAAATATCAGATAATTTCTCAGAACTTATATTCACATTCCACCACGTACGTTACTTGATGTTCTTTTCGGCCTTCCAGGCGCTATCTGTCTCAAGGTCTAACCGCTCCTTATGTACCCGAGCATGTTTCTCACGCTGTGCGTGTGAGTGTCATTCCTCTCTTAGTTTCTTTGTTATTGTGCAGGCTCTTTTGCAGTTGTCAGCAAACTCTATTCTAACTCAACTTCTACTTCTAGTTTATCTTATCTTATTCTGTGTCTAAAGAAAATGTGTAGAAAACTTGTATGTGTCAGCGTGTAGTCAATCTCTTATTCTGTCCCTTTTCTCCAATCGATCACCTGGACAGTCGCGCCAGCTGAAGCTTGTGACTTTCCCACCCTGGACTAGAATACATTCTTTAATTTGCAGCCTTATGTGTACAATAAATCAGAGTAAAAACCTGTGAAGGAAATCATGTATTATGTGTACAATAAAACAAGAGTAAAAACCTGTGAAGGAAATCATGTTATTCTTCCACAAAACAAATACAAAAAAAGAGAATACAAAACAAATAAACACATTGTTTACATCCCACAATTTCACAGTTTAACTAGCAATAAACTCTCTTTTGTGAACTGATACATTTTTAGGGGAGAACATCATGAACTCACTTTGGTTTCTCTACACAGCCACTGAAACATACAAAGTTATGCAAAGTGAATAACAGTATAAACTTTGAAATCTGTTAGGACACTGTCATTATTCACGCCAACCCTCTCTTCAGTCCTCACAGCACGTGACCATTAAACATACACCGGTCACACGATCAGAACTCTACAGAAATGGTCACAAACATGGAGTCATCGCTAAAGAAACTTAGCTTCCTAAGCTAATTACAGTCTCCTACAACTTGGGCGACAATATTTTGCAGTATGCTACACTTTTTTAGCACATTTACCTCATGTTTAGCTAGCCACAGAAACTTTTGCAGCCTCTAACGCTCCAGTGCTCCCGCTCACAGCGCTGACACAAACTTAAGTGCATGCATGCTCTGGCTTACGGGGCTCTTAAAGGGACAGTACACCCCCAAAACGCCAGGTCTAATCATCACCATGACAACCCTACAACAGACCTCTGGTACACAGGCAACCAGTCAAAAACACAATCCCCTCTTTTTAAACCCTTTCCAGGGTTAGTATTAGTTCACTTGGCTAAACAGACGGTAGGGAAGTATGTGGATTTGAAATAAAAAGCAATAAATCATCAGCATAGAGAAAGACTTTGTGTTCAGTTTGACCTCTTTGTATACCCTGAACAAGTTTGATTTTGAAAAAGGGGTAGCGTCCATTAACAAAGCCAGACTGATCTTCAGATATGACTGCTGATAGGAGCCTTTCCAACCTATGGGCCAGCGCTTTAGCTAGGATCTTAAAGTTAACATTCAAAAGCGAAATTAGCCTGTATGATGCACATTCAGTTGGATCTTTCCCCATTTTCACAATTAAAGGTATGGAAACATCATACCAGGAAGTTGGCCCTGTGTGAATGATTCAGATAGAACCAAGTAGAGTAGAGGTACGAGCTTTGGGGCAAATGGTTTGAAAAATTAAACCAAAAAGCCGTCTGGGCCAAGGAACTTCCCTGACTGTAAGGAGAAAATTGCAGTGGTATCCCTTCTTTGGAAAATGGTGCATCCAACATCTCTCTGTGGGTGTCTGCCAGCCCAGGAAAATCCAAGCTTTTAAGAAAATTTGTGATAAGTGAGTGGTCGGTGTGTGATTCAGAGGAATAAAGCTTCAGATAATATTCCCTGAACGCATCATTGGTTTTGGCATGATCAGTAACGAGCCCGTCATCTGAGTTAATGGCGGTTATACACTGACGTGGATTTAGACCCCTTATTTGGTTAGCTAGGAGTTTGGCCGATTTCCCCCCATGCACAAAAAATGTACTCCTACTCTTTAAGAGTTGCCTCTCCATAGCATGAGTTGAAGGAAGTTCAAATTTGGTTTGGAGTTCAAAACATTTCTTGTAAACCTCAGAGTCCTTATTGTGTGCATAGTGATGGTCCAAGTCTTTTATTTTATTGGCTAATTCTTGCCTTTCTTTTAAGGTTACCCTCTTCATATTAGCTGTATATGAAATGATCTGTCCTCAGAGATAGGCCTTCATTGAGTCCCAAACTAAAAGGCTAGAAATATTTGGGGAAAGGTTGGTGTCAAAAAAAAGTTTAATTTGGTTATTTATAAATTTCAGAAAGGTATTATCAGATAGTAGTGTGGGGTTAAAACGCCAACTCCTGTCTGTTCTAGGTAAGTCGGGCATAGACAAAGTCACCATTAAAGGGGGAATGGTCTGATATAACTATGGCACGGTATTCACAGTATATCATTGCAAAAGATTTCACATAGGGCAGCGCCAAAAAAGTCAGTTGGGCGGACGCTTTTTGTGGATTCTGCTAAGCCAAGTATTCGTAAATTTTTCCGACGGCTGCTGCCTTCTAGGTCGATGACTTTGGTGGCCAGTTTGGAGTTAGACCCTGGAAGGTTACCATATGCTTCTTTGAGCTCTTTGATCCGCTGACCCGCATCTTCCGTTGCCAGCTTGAGCGAAGACAAACGCTGGCCATGTTCATCCACAGCTAGGCAAACTTGATCGAACTTTGCCTCCAGCCAGGTGAAGGAAGACTTAAATTCAACCTTG